ACTCACCGCCCTCCTGCCCTTCCTTCTCCTGCAGCCCCCACGGCACCGGGACCTGCCGGGGCTGCTGGGCACAGCAGGACCCCACCAGGCTCCATGGGCCCTGGAGTATCAACTATTGCTTTGACTTGGTGAAGCCCATAAAGCCAAACAGAGCTCGGTTGCATTTTTCCTGGGTCTACCAGCAGCCCCAGGATTATAGAGGACAAAGGCATTGCTGAAAGGCCAAGAGCGGCTTCCACGTTCCCAAGTCGCACCTGGATAGGGGCTGGGTGCTGCGGGCACAGCCGCGGTTTCCCAAGGCAGGAGGTTCCTCCCCACTCCCAACGCATGGGCACCGTGCCGGGCTTTGCACCAGCGAAGTGCAGGATTTGGCTCCACTGCAGCATCCACAGCCGCTTCCCGACACCTTTTCCCAGGCACCCAGCTCTTCCGGGCCCATCTGCCAGCAAAGCCGAGCGCTCCAGCTCTGCAGCTCCATTTAGGAAAGTCACGGAGCGCTTGTGAGCGCTTCGAGCCGCAGCCGCAACCGCCCGCCCTCCTCTTGCTTCCCCCTCTCCAAGGCTCCTTTGAATCCCGAACTTCCTGGGCTGACACGGACAATCCGCAGCTGCAGCCCCCGAGCCTCAGCGCTGGCAGCGACACAGGGCTCCTAAACTCTTCTTTGAGGCAAATTATGCATTCATCTAGCTCATTTGAAACAAAATATGATTTGCAATTTAACTTTCCATAATGAGCTCCCGCTATTATGCGGTTTCCATAATGGCTGGTTTCATTGGAACAGATTGTTGGTGCACATGGTTTACAAAACATTTTCAATGCAAGCCCCGTTTTTTCTTATTTTAAATAGCAACAGCTGCTAAGCATGATAATTATTGTATTTCATCAAAATAAACTTACCAAGTTGCTTCTTAATGCTACTCCTTGCAGTTTCCAAAGGACCTGTGTGTTGTTAAAGAAAACAGAAACTTTAGAGCACCAAAGAGATCGAAGAGGAAGATAGAGGGGAATGTCGTGCGGTGGCTCCGGAGCGCCGGGAGGACGGTGCGAGGAGGCGCCGGCACGC